GGGGACCTCCCGCGGCTGGGGAGGCGGAATCGGGGCCGCAGAGTCGCACCTCTGTTACCGTGATTCTGACACGGGGGAAACTGCCGAAGAGTGGGCTCCTGCTAGTTAAAGGAAAACTTCTTTCATTTGGAAAGAAGGAAGAAGCCAGACCCGATACTGACTGTTACTCCCGCCTCCTGCAACGCGCGAGTGCACTTGAGTGTCGCTGTCACGTTACTCCACGGTGTGAATCCGGGGAACAACGGTGGGGCTGCCTGATCCTAATCCGAGGGATGTGATGATTTCCAAAGGGGCCTGAAGGCTTCAGCGGTCACTTCTTTCACATGGATGTGCTGAACAAATAGGGGGGAGCGCTGCGAGGATTTCTGATCTCGAAGTGCACTCTGGTTAAAGTCAAGCTCCCCTTTGCTTCATTTTCTTTCTGCCGAATCCGGCGCTCCTACCGAAGACGGCTCCAGCCCTTCAAGAGTCCACTCTCGTAGCTGAAGCGCTCCTGTGGGGATGGAAGGGCTCCAGTCTCCCTGAAATGAGCTACCCTTGCCTGACCTAAAGCTTACCTTTACTTGAGCAAACATGTTTTTTTGTGTTACTAGAGAAAAACCTCTTGTAAAATGATCTGCTTCAGTGCCATTTAGGTGATGTTTGTCATGTAAACAAATTGCATAGGGTAGTTAAAGAGAGTGCTCGATAAATCCTAAAATTCCACAGGCTGCTGTTCCCACTGCTTTGTTTCAGTGTGATACGCATCCTTGACTCTTCACCTACCTGGAATATGCACTGTGAAAATGGACTTTAGTTTTCAGTCAGTTGCTCCATCTACCTGTAACGGTCCTCTCTTGAAATGAAAGTTGTTGCTTTAAAGAAAAAGCAATTGCAGAGTGAAAACTGCAGATACCAAAATGTCTGTTTTGTACTGAATTCACTAGACCAGTATATATATAACATGAATGTAATTTTTGTGTATAAAGAGTCAATATGTCCCACATCTCCACTGTAAAGGTGTCAAGCCTTTGAGTGCCACATTCATCCTGTGTGAAATGTGGCAGCTTGCGATTGCTTTTATTGAATACAAGGCACGGCGAGCACTGGGAACACCTATGTTCGTTCTTCATCAGAACTGTAGCACTAATTGAAAAATGCTTTGGAGGTTCCCTTGCCTTGCAGTGCTTTTCACTTCATGGAACTGCCTGTGGGCCGCTTTTGTTCACCATCATAATGTTGAAATTAATTAAAAAAAAAAAATCCCATTTTTAGGGACTCTGTGTATGTATGTATATATACATATATATCTGCTATAATCCATACTGATGGCATAAGTGAGAAAAGCCACAGAGCAAGCAGGTATCGAAACTGAACCTCTGCCACTTCTGTTTCAAGCCTTGAATGCCTTGAAGGTGAGTCTGTGAGAAAGTTATGCAATAGGTGTCACTGACTGCAAAACAAGTAGGTTAAAAATGAAAGGCTCACATTTTATCTCTGGTGATATCTAGGTTTCTAGTCTAATTTAGGAATATTAAGTGTCATTATCATGAAATCATAAATCACTTGTAAGAAATGAAGAACAATGCTTACTTCTTTTCTGGTACAAAGAAAGCTTCCAGTAAAATAATTGATGCCTGGTCTGAAAAGCTGTTTCTTTGGCTGGCATTGCACAGAGCGAGGTTGCTGGAGGACAGCGAAGGGCCTGGGGTACGGCACACCAACTCCACAGGCTGCCACAGAGCGGGGAACATCGCTCTTGGCAGCCACGGGGAAGCGTGGGCTGAGCTTGTACTCCCTCTCCTTTGGCCTCTTTGGTTCACTTTGTCCAATTAAACTAAACTCTGCAGGACAAAGACTTCTTACATTTAATAGAAATCATAAATTCTGTAAACTGGACACATACATGGATGTCCAAATTAGCCTCTGGTATGTCCCTGCTCTGATGTGCTGCTGTCACATTCATCCTTGAAAAATTCTGGGTGTCAGGATCTGGGAAGAGCTCGCCCTGGCTGGGTGCTTACTGGCGTGCCTCCAGGAGAGTGTTCCGCTTACGGTGTTTGACAGTCTTCCCTTATAACAAGCTTGGCTTGGTACCTTACTTGTCTCCAATTGTTTCTTACTTTTGTAGTCAGCAGTTTTAAATTACCAAGTTAACTATTATTAACAAAAATTAATGTCAGTCTTCTTGAAAACTTTACTAGTTGTTTAGGGAATGTCAATTTAATAATTTATACTCACCCCACATTCTCCAGTACTCCAACTCTGAATTTGTGTTTTAGAAGAAAATAGTTGATAGTAATTAAAGCTACTTCTGCGGGACCTCTGTAAGACCGATTTATAAAAGAGCTATATTTGCAGCCTGATGCTGGCATACTAAGTAGCTGCCTAAGAGAACAGCAACTGAAGTTTGTATCTTTAAAGGATGAATATTGAGCTGTATTTATTCAACAATGTTAGACAGTTTTAGTGGCTGCACAAGCCCATGCATCCTAAAAAAAATTAAATCCTGTGTAGGTAGAAACGTTCAGTTATCCAAGCGAAAAGTAATGTGCTAGAAGTTATTAACCGCAGTTTGAAACTTGATCGCTGTCACAAGCAGCATGGGTCTAAGAGGGCTTTATGCAAAGCTGCCAAGCCAGTTTTTGTTGCATTCTGTGTTGCAGTTGCCCTGCCCTTTTATAGGGCTTAGTTGGCTTTAAGGTGACAGAGCAACTGATATTTGTCACAATTAGTCTTATCCCCCAAACTATGAGATGCTTCACAGGTGCTTGCTGTAGAAACCTGAAGTTAATTTTTCCCAAGTCATAGTTTTAAACGTGAGGGTGCCTAAAACAGGGAGTATAAATAGTTACTGCAAGGCCTTTTTAAGGCTGAATTGTTAGTGAAAAATTAGCTCACACAAAAAGCAAGCAACCAAAGTCCTAGTGTTTATCGTTTATATTTAAAAACTTTACTCATAATATGTAACTTATTACAGTGAAAACTTGGCTTCATCTTGCATGTTATCAGAATGCTGAGCAGTGGCGTAGCGAGACCTAAAACTTAATGTGTTTTGATGAAATCAGAAGCAGTGTCCTGACTGTCTCCCAGTGCGGTGGGTTGACGCTTTGGATCGTGGTCTCTCTTTTAAGACTTTGAGCGGTAGTCCTAGATGAATGATTTCTGGCATGGTTGGCAGTCTGCACGTTGTAGGTGTGGCATTACAGTACTTTGTTTTAACCAACCAGTTGCCATTTTAGCACCACTGTAAGATATGTGTATTTGAAAGAGAGATGGTTTCCCCCCAGATCCCATTCCATTGACTTTTCTCCCTTCATTCTGCAGATTTTTTCCTCTTCCCCCATAATCCTCCTTTGCCTGTTGGTAGATTATTGGGTGGGAAGCATTGTTTCTGCTAGAAAGACATGGTTATTCAGAGGTGCAGATTAGAGGTGTGTGAGGACACTCTCCTTGTGACATTTACTGCTACTTAAGTTTGCGATTTCTACTCTCACTTTAACCATGTAATGCTGCTCTGCAGCATGTCTTCTGTAGCATGAAGAGATGGGCTGTCATTTGGGAAGGGAAGGAGGGGCTGACTTGTTACAGTACCAGTAATAAAATATTTTGGGGTTTTAGTTTACAAGATTCAGTTCACAAAGATTTCAAATGCTAATTCTGCTAGTCCAGCTGTAGAGTAGCTTTTAATCATTATATGGAAACTGTCTTCACTATTCCTAGGCCTTATCCTAACTCTTTTCATTATAAATGCATTTTGCCTGCTCTAGTGTCCTTGTTTGCTTAAAAATGGAAATACAAAATCCTGCTCATCTGTTGCAGAAATGGGTTGACTGATAACACAACTGAAGATTGATGCACTGAGCTGATGAACTATGAGTACTAGGTGTTAGAGCTTGTACAGTGGTAGAAACTGCGCTAATGTACTGAATTCATTATTTAAAAAAAAAAAAGAAACAAACCCAAAACTTACTGTGGGTATTAAAGCAGCCACATCTCACTGAATAATTTAACTTCCTTTCTTTTTTCCCCCCTCCTCCCTCAGGTCCCAAAACAGTGTTTTTCTGGGCACCCATTATGAAATGGGTAAGTATAAGATGCCAGCTGGTGTCTGGATGTCAGTCAGAGGGCAATCTGCAGCAACCCATTGAGCAAGCAATAGTTTCCCAGCAGATAGCTGAACCTACAGAAAGATTTAATACCGAGGGTCTAATTTTTAATATACGGGGAGGAACAAAATTAGCCTTAATAACATATAGCACAACATGCAGGGGATATAGGGGGGGAAAAATGCTTTGTGGAAAAATTGTACTCTTCACTGAAAGTTTCACAAAATCTTTCTCTTGTGAAACATTAACTGTTGCTCAAAGTAGGCATGAGCTAGCGTATAATTCAAAACTCTTAAAGCATGTATTTCTTCTGAGATTAAGGAATTTGAAGAGTATCTTAAGGAAGCCAATTCCTAAGCCTTAAAGTTTGAAGGCAGGTTAAAGCATGTCAGAGTGCAAGGTAATCTTGAGAAAACATGAGCAGCCACTGCTGGGGGGGGGGGGGGTGGGGAAGAAAAAAAGAAAAAAGGCAACTGCCAGCTGGTTCATATGTTTGCTATTGTCAACCCCAACTTTTTATAGGCCACAGGCAACACGTTACGCTCTAAGCTGTAGCTTGGTTTCTTTGTCAATCTAAACTGGAGCTGTAGTAACCATGGTTAACCTTCCAGTGGCTCTCCCAGGCAATGTGCTCGAGCCCGAGCGTACCAGCAACTCTTCTGAGCAGGCTGGTGTCAACTGCTGCTGTATCAAAAGAGCTAATACACAGATAGTTTCTCTTTTGTGAACATGCAGCTCTAAGCTTACAGTGAAGTTCTTCACTGAGAAATTAAAATGACTTCCCCTACATGGCAAAGGCACGTTTACTGCAGTTACTGAGGTGTGCTGAAAACCTGTACCTCCGTGGCACCAACATCAATCCCGTAAGTGAGGCAGCACATGGAAGTGTCTACCCTTGAAAACCAGTTTCTTGATTGGAGCCAAAGGAGTCCTTAGTGGCAGTCAGTGAATTAAAAGCATTAGGACTCTCATTTGTGAGGTTTGGGGGGGGGGTTGGTTTTTTGTGAAATCCTGTAACTTGAACATGAAATTGTATTTCCAGTAGAGGGCAATAACACAACACAACAAATCAAGCAGCATGTTTGCTAGTAATGTGGTCAAGTAGATCAGCCAAGCTATTCCTCGGTTCACCTGGAAGTTTTCTACTTTTACTGAAATAATATTAAAAAAGAAGCGCTTTTTCCTCCTCAGATGAAGCTGAGTGAAGACTATATCATGTCACACCTACATCTTTACCAGCAATATCTCAGTCTGAGCTTTAGGAAGAAGGGCCTTTTTTAGATAAGCTTCGACTTGTTGCATGAAAACCAATTTTTTTTTCAGCTGCTTTCTTAAGCAGCTGTGCTTAAATTAACCTTGTTCTTAAATTAATACAAAATTGCCACTGCCTGGGATTTTATCGGAAGCCAGTTGCACCCCCCATAACTGCATTCTTATTCCTACCACAAGGGCTAGAAGTGGATGGTGTCTCCGAGAGTCTAATTGCTCTGCTCATATAATGCATGCCATCTCCTGCATAACGCATATAGAATAAGCACTGAGCTATGAAGCAACTTCCCCTTGTAAAGCGTTTGATCTGTTACAGGAGGTCCTGGTACTGGACTGGTGCTCACTGAATTTCTCTTTACAGGGTTTGGTATGTGCTGGAATGGCTGATATGACCAGACCAGCAGAAAAGCTCAGCACAGCACAGTCTGCAGTACTAATGGCCACAGGTAAAGCCAAAGTTACTCCATGCTTTTACACAGCACTCCCTCTAAAACTGTATACGCTTCTTTCTGAATCCTCCCTCAGTACTAATCCACTTCTACAGAAAAGGCTTAACTACAATATGCTAGCTCTCACTATTGCTGTCAGATGCTAATTCTAGGACAGACCTATACTTGTTATTAAATCTCTAAGAGTTCTGTGATTATATAACAGTTTTCTACACGTGTCTTAATTTGGAATTGTCCAGAGCAAGTTGTTACGAGTTAGGATATGACTGTCATCCCTTAAGTTACAATGATGCCACTCATTCCACTAAGTGACTTCTTTTGCTTCAGGTCAAGTAATTTTGAAATCAGTCCAAGATATAGTGACTTTTTTAGAGCAGACTTTAAGGGATTAAACAATGATAGGGTAATTACACTAACGTAACTGGAAAGAATTTCCATGTGTTAAAAGAACTTGGAAGCAGTGGTACAGGGACTGCTGCACTGCAGTCCGCCGTGAATTTTCACCCTGGCAGAAACAATATTCTGTACTTGAGGTGTTCCACCAGATCTTGTCAGGGGCGGGACTTGTGGCAGCTAAAGCTGAAAATCAAAATTACAGCTGCCACCTTCTTCCTTCTCCGGACTTTACTGTGATATCTGACAGAGTGCTGTGCATTTTGCATGATATGTAAACCTTTCTTGACTGGTGGATTCTGTACTCTCTAAGCTGGTGCAGCAAGCTGGATATACTACAGCAAAATGCCAATGCCCTGCAGCTGTGCTGGAGAATTAAGGTCTAGGCTGCTGTAGAGTACAGAGGATCTTTGATATTAAGACTATGATTGACCTTATTGTCCAGTTATTTTGGAAAAATTCAATACATACCCATAGCTGTCCCAGTGGCACTCGATGCACTTTTCTGAGAAATGGCTAGTTATAAGAAAAGCAGTTGTCTAACATGAAGTTATAAAACTTGTTTACTTAAACTAGCCCATGATTCTGTCTCCAAACTTAGGGGAATGTCTGAATATTTCACTTTGAAGACCTAACATCTTTAAAACTTTCCCTTTCATTCAACAGGCCTTATTTGGTCAAGGTACTCTCTAGTTATTATTCCTAAAAACTGGAGTCTGTTTGCTGTGAACTTCTTTGTTGGCTGTGCTGGTGGCTCTCAACTCTTCCGAATATGGAGGTATGTATTAAGAAGGGCTACTCTACATACTATAACTAAGCATTCACACCACCTCGTCTTAACCAGGAGTTTATAAATTCTACCAGCCTCAGTATCAGTGCAACAGGCAAGAGGAAACAAACAATTAATTAAACATTGCTCTAGTTATTATTCCTAAAAACTGGAGTCTGTTTGCTGTGAACTTCTTTGTTGGCTGTGCTGGTGGCTCTCAACTCTTCCGAATATGGAGGTATGTATTAAGAAGGGCTACTCTACATACTATAACTAAGCATTCACACCACCTCGTCTTAACCAGGAGTTTATAAATTCTACCAGCCTCAGTATCAGTGCAACAGGCAAGAGGAAACAAACAATTAAACATTGCAGAACTTTTTTGCTACATTGTTAGTTTTCCAGTTGAGTGAGAGTGAAGCTTTAAATATTTTCAGTATAGCTAGAACACATTTTAAGGAACGCTGTATGTAAGCTGTAGTTTCTGGGTCTAAGGCATTCTTTAAAAGCTGTAGGTCCGACTGACAAACAGCCTAGACTTTCTCCTCCTCATAAGCTTTGGACTTCCATCAGCTTTCAGTGTTGAATCGTGTCAGTTCCAGATGAATCAAAGGGTTCTTAAGCAGAGCAGCTTTTTTTTTTTTTATTATTTCTTGAGGGAAAATTTTGAGTTCTCTGGCTTCAGTACTGGCCAGGAATGAGGCAAACTTAACAACTAATTTGGAACTTCTTACATGAACTAAACTATCCTATCCTAAGTTTCCACCCTCAAGGCCATTGTAATTTTAAACCTCCTCTGCTGAACAGATTGTTAGGAAGACAGTGTTATTGTAACTGGTGTTCTATTCTTAGTCTGTGCTTTTTTCCTCCCCCCTCCCAGGTATAATCAGGAGCTAAAAGCAAAACAACAAGAGCAGCTGCAGCAAAGAGATGCTTAACCCAACAGGTCAAATTCAACAACACACAAACCCTTCCCCATGGGACCTAGCTTCACTAATTTTAACTTTTTTTCCTCTGAGAAAATAAAGAGGAAATCTAAATGTCTAGAGAGAAAGTGTTTTCTAAGTGCAAAGAACAAAGTGTCACCATACATTTAAATAAAGTGCAACCTTTTAAATTGAAGTAAAATTGTGTGTCTTACATTGTCTCTTAAAAGAAACTGATGGTGGATCATGCCTAGAATGAGTTACTGGGCTCCACCTTATCTGACTCTACTGAACAGTGCCGGGAGTGACACAGTGCTGGTGACAGTCAGCCAGAGCCTCAGACTGAAGTAATCTTCTTCCATGTCACGGTCAGACCTGGGTGGGGTTTTACCATATTTTCAGTAACCAACAACAGTAGCATTTGCATTTCATTCCCTGATGCTCTTCCCTAGTAGTGTAAGGATATTCTTTTCAGCTTCAGCTATGTATATCTTCATTTGTTTCCCAGCCACCACCGTCTTTAACAAGAGGAGGGCAAACTAGTATGTGCCACTGGTGTTTTAGCTTCTGTCATCCTTTACAACTAGAGGCAGAATATGGGTGCATTTAAGTACCTGGTTCTTGGGAGTGTGAAAAATAAACAGCCAAAACTTATTACTCGCTTTCCACTCCCTCCTTCAGTACATACAGATTTCCTGTGAAGGTATGCCCTCAGGAAACATGTACATGTCAGTTCTCCAAAGCTTTGGAGGCAGTGGTCTGCTCCCATCTGTGGCATGTCTGTGAACAAACACTGAAGCCTTTCCTGAAAGTCAACATCTCTCCCTACTTACTCTCCTGTAAAGAGGAAAAATGTGCCACTGTGAAATAGCTTCTGAGCAAAGCAATTGTGCTCAGAGCATGGCATCAATGAGCTTCCCTGGCAGGTTCTCTGAGACCTCTTCCACCAAAGGTAGGAGTCAGTACCAGAGCTCAGGAATTTATATCCAGGAGGAAAAGATAACTGTGAGACAGAGTAGCTTCTTCAGGATTCAGCTTTCAGGAAAATGAAGGCCTGGAAATACTGGAGTTTTGCAAAGTCCTGTTACTAAGTCTCTCTCCACCCCCACTTCCCCCCGATCCCATCCGAGTTACCACAAGGGTGGAGAGGAAAGCGTTCTATAGTTATAACAGCTACAGCACCTTGCTGTGGCACTGATGTCCCCTCCTTTCTCACCCTATGTATAACGTTACGTTATCCTCTGCGAAGTATTTGTGCAGGATACTTTAAGTAAAGCATTTTCCATTCTTACAAGACATGCACCTGATAGTCTGTCAGCTCCCCTTTTTCAGAGGCTGTCCTGCCATGGAGCTATTTCTCTCCCATGTGCATTCTGCTACAGTTTCACTTGCATTTCTTAGTTCTCCTAGCTGAAGCGGTAATACAGGTAATACAGTTCAAATGGTGAACTCTCCAGCTGTGTTGTTCACGGAGCTGACAGAGACTGCAGTGACTGAAGAATATTGCCAGAAAGAGAGGTGGTGTATCTCAGTCCCTACCCAGATAAGACTCGTCCAGCAAACCAGTAATGGGAAAAAAAAAAGTGTATTAAAATATTCACAAGATTACAATAGAAAACATGAAAGTCCATTCAAGAAAAAATATCCAAGATAACCGTTTCCAGATGAGTCTGTAAAAGCAAAGCACTAACAGTTGGTACACTGGCTCTTCATGTAATCAGGCCATGCAATGCATATCTAGCTCCCTCACACAGATTATACACCTGTCTTTACAGGTGTTTGTTCTCTTGCATACCTCTAAGACAGAGGTTTACAAAAGAAAAGTACCCAGTCTATGTTTCCAATTACATTTACCACATAAAAACAGCTGGCATTGCAGGGAGACAGAAAAGATTGCACAGCACACTGATCTCCAAAGGCATTGAACTTGCATTTTAGAGTGCAAAAATACCTTTAAATGAAAGGGCTTATTAGCTTTAGGGCAGTGAAGAGAAGGGAAAGAGAAGCCTCAAGAAGAGTATAATTGCTGAGCATAGTTAATATGATTTTGTAGTCTCCCATATAAACATGTTACCTAAATACTAGCACCGCAGGGGCGTGGCCACCGCCCAGAAGTCTTACCCACCTTCTCAGCTTTGATGGTTTTAAAGAGCAAATATTTCCATCTCCTATTATACAATAAGAACATTTTGTATTTGCGGCCCTAGGGAGATACATTAATAATGTAAAATTCCAAGACAAGATTTCAATACAGAGTGAAGGTGTTTTGGCTATAAATCAAACAGCCCACACTTGACCTCAATGAATCCACTCTAAGGCAATGCAGCTTCTAAGTTGCATACACACATTTACTGCAGTTACAGACAGATGGTTACCTAAACAGTTCTCACAGGTTTAAAAAAGTTAAAAACCTAATTCCAGCTCTTCTAGTCAGAAATTGAAATATCACTAAAACTTTGAGAGAAAACAAAACCCAATGGGTCTCCAGTTTAAATGACACATCTGTACTGGCTCTTAATGCCATTTCATGAACATGCCGACCATCTCCCTCACAGAACAACTGCTGAAGTCAAAAGGGGCAATGGAGATTTGATGTACTGAGTACAGCTACCAATTTACTTAGATTGATACTTTATAATTATTTGTAATCCTCTTCTCAAAATTCATTTCTGGTAACCAAAAATAAGGAAGAATATATCCACTGTTAGTAAAAAGCCAAAACTTTTCCACCTTGCAGGTCTGTTAAAAACAGGGAAGATGAATGATGCCATTCATACCCCTGGCTCTAGGGGGTGCCAGCTGGCTTAGCTGCCAGAGCCCAGGCTGGCGGTCCAAAACTGCACTCCTACAATGGGTAGAAGATCACTTTTACCCATAAAAGACCTTTTTCCTCCCATCAGCTGAGAAATGGATTTCAGACTGATCCCAGTTTTGTTTGGATGATGAATAAAAGAGAATTCATTGCAAGTCTTTTACATCACACAGACCTTCCCCAGCTCCACTATCCAAGAGTGATGACCCACATAACAGTTTTAGTCATTTGCTACTGCCTCAAGAGAGGCTGTCTACCCCTCAGCTGTGCTGCAGCAAGCCTGCCATGCAGCACTTCTCTTTAAAATAAATGGTCCTAAAAAAAGCCAGCAGCAGTACTACAACAGGACAAGGACAACACAATTAGTGTTCCTCAAAGTCCAAGGTGTTCCTTTCCACCTGTAAAGAGCAGCATCAGAGAATTAAGAGATTAGCAGTAGAGCAAACAGAGTTAAACTTCTGGTCACCATAACAGCAAGATATGATGCCCTTGTCTGACTTCAATCTACTGCTTTGACGGGTAGCAAGCAGAGAAGTCCTCTGTCTCCTGAGACTTTACTAAGCCAACTTAGCATCAGTCCCTTTCATCAGCACAGGTTATCGTATGATTAAACAAGCTAAGATAACCTGAGGGACAGAAAGTTCACCAGTGTTGTCTCACATTGCCTCAAGTTCTTTAATAGCTACATTGTTCATGCTTCCATGACCAAAAAAAAAAAAAAAAAAAGGTAATTCAACAGCCTTCACACTGGAGAGGGATTCAGACTGATTTCTGCTATTCCTGGGGGAAGGGACTTTTGTTTCTTTCTAAAAAGATGTTCAGCATTTTTTAAAAATACTTACAAGTTCATTCTGCCTTCACAAAGAGGATCCAAGCAGCCATGCAACGAGCCTCCTCCATGTAGGCAGTATGAACATACCTGTAGCTAAACAAAAGCAATGGAAGGAGATGTTTCCTAAAGTTAGTTAGCACCAACCAGATCAGCGTGTTTCCTAAAGCCAGCACCAACCAGATCAGTGTGTTTCTTGAAGTTAGCACCAGATCAGCATATTTCTTAAAGTCAGCACCAGATCAGGATTGTGCTCAGATTCTCCAGTATATTCCAGCAGGAAAAGAAACAAACATTAGTAGCAGACTTCAGAGCCAAGGACAGCCCTATCTTCTCATAGCAGCACATTTTTAATCGCTACATTCATCACATTTCTCCCTCTTACTCTAAAATGTCTGGGGAGAAAGATGGTGGTGCACAGGGATGAACACAGGCAGATCAAAATCAAGTTTGTCCATCAACCATGTCAAAAGCGTTCGTTTCTTACTAAGTGTAAAACAAGTGTTGGGAAGTAATAGCCTGGTAGATAAGAAAAGCAGCAGCAGCAGGATTCATCCTGATCTTGATAAGGCTTCTAACAAAGGCAGGTGTTGTCAGGAAACCAGTGAAGTCTGATCCTGATGAAAGAACATAGTGTTGGCATACCCAACTTTGCTGGGGAAAAAAACACTGTACACAAAATAGTTATTAAAGTTGCACTATCATAATTAAAGGATTATCTAATGTGGTTCTGAAAGGGTCTGCCATGGGCCTAAAACTGTTTTTCATTTACTTGATGTTACAGTGGAATGTAGGCTTAAGTCTGCAAATATCAAGCTAAGAGTGTTGCAAGATCACTGGAGGACGGGATGAGAATTCAAACCAAGTTTTCAACAGACGAACCGAAGATGAGGTCTGAAAAAGCCGTAACATAATTTCAGTAGAGACACATCTGCAGACAGTACAAAACCAGGAGAAATTGCTAGCACACCAGATGGTTGTGCTGCCATTCAGAGGGACCTGGACAGGCTGAAGAATTGGGCTAAGAGGAATTTAATGAAGTTCAAGGAGGAGAAGTGCAGAGTCCTGCACCTGGGGAGGAACAACCCCATGCACCAGCACGTGCTGGGGTCTGCCTGGCTGAAAGCAGCTTTGCAGAAAAGGCCCTGTGGGGCTCCTTGTGGACACCAGGTTGAGCATGAGTCAGCAGTGTGCCCCTGCTAAAAAGGCGGCAAATGGTATCCTGGGCTGCATTAGGCAAAGTATTGCCAGCAGGTCAAGGGAGGTGATCCTTTCCCTTTATTCAGCACTGGTGAGGCCACACCTGGAATACTGGGTATAGTTCTGGGCTCTCCAGTACAAGAAAGATAGGGACTTACTGCAGCAAGTCCAGGGCAGGGCCACAAAGATGATAAAGGAACTGGGGCATCTTTCATATGAGGACAGGCTGAGAGAGCTGGGACTGTTCAGCCTGAAGAAGAGAAGACTTGGGAGGGATCTTATCAATGTGTATAAATACTCAATGGGAGGGAATGTAGAGCACTACTAGTCTCAGTAGTGCTCACTGGCAGGAC